TTTTTTTTTTTTTTAGTTCATTTATATTTCGTATTTATTTTAATATTTTTATTTCATCTATATTTTCATATATATATTTTTAAATATATTACTATATATATATATATATATGAAATACATATTATTATTAATATATTTTCATGAAAGAACAAAATCGTGACATATTTTAAAATAATAATTTAACTTACCGTTAGTATCGTTGTAAAATTTATAGGACGGATATTGAAAATTCGTATAATCGATGTTATCCTCAGAAACAAGATATAACGTGACTAGTACTAAACACGGAAGAAGTAGTAAAACTATACCGGGTCTACTACAAAAGCACTCAACTAAGCGCGACAATTTACTTTTGCACATCATCATCATCATCATCATCATCATATTGTTGTTGTTGTTGTTGTTAAATTTGTTCTTCTCTTCTTTTCTTTTTTTTTCTTTTTTTTTTCGATGAACAATCAAATATCGTCTTTCGAATTTGTGTCAAACTCAAGCTCCAATTTAGACTTTTTCCAATTGGAAATTACCGCTGGTGGTGTTGGTGGTGGTGGTAATGGTGGTGGTGGTTGTGGTGATGGTACCGGCATTTCCAAATACTTAAACCTTAATATTACTCTATCCCTTTGTTCCACCTTGTTCTTTTTCTTGTCAAATCTCGATTTTTTCCATGAACGTTCATTATATTTAATCTTCCGATATCTTCCATATCTTCTTTCTTCTAAAGGCAAACCAAATCATTGAACAAATTCCTTTTGTGTGTGTTTTTTTTTTTTAATAATTTTTTTTTAACTTAAATTTATCTCACACGTTTATTACACGATAACCTACTTGTACAATAAAAATCTATAGAATTTTTGTTACTGTTATCTATTCGACTGTAATCAATGATATCTGTTGTAAAAAAAAAAAAAAAAAATGAACAAATAGTAAAAATGAACGAAACGTTTAACGAATCTAAATAATTTCATTTCATAAACGACCAAAAAAAATAAATAAATAAAATAATTAACAATGAAAAACGTAATAGTTTGAAATGGTGTTGGATATATTTAAATTTGAGTGTGAAATATCAAATAATAAAATAATAAATGAAAAATATTTTCTTATTTTTCTTATCAATTTACTGGTAAAATATAATTCTAATCAATGTTAACAGATGTATAAATTATAATAAAAAAAAAATATAAATTAATAAATAAAATAGAATACTTAAGAACAAACGTTATAGTTTGAAATGGTGTTTGGTAAACTTGAATCTGATTGAAATATCAAATAATAAAATAATAAATGAAAAATATTTGTCACCACTTGTTCTTAACAATTTACAAATAATAAATAATTTTAATAATAAAAACATTAATGTATCTATAAACATAAAAAAAAAAAAAAAAAACATAAATCAAATAAAATATGTAGGAAAGAACACATTATAGTTAGAAATATAATGTTCGATAAAAGGGCTCATACGATGAAGGTTAAAACGTTGTCTACAATCTCTCGTCTTAAAGTGGCCATGCGTTACATTGCAATGCATTGATTGCATAAATGCACTAGTGGACGGAACATGATAGTCGTTATTGAAATAAAGGATGAATGATTTTGCTTACTGTATTCATTTACAAAACTTATTCAACGTAGTGATACCTTATTTAATGAAATTAAATTACATTCATTCATTCATTCAATTACTCATTGATTGATATGAATTAATTGATAATTATTATCTATATTCATTATAATGTGATAATAAATATTACAAATACTCGATTAAAATATTATTTAGATGCATTTATCTAATAATAAGATGATGAAAATAATGAAATACGTTCTCACAGATATTTATCATAATATAACATATATCTAACATTTCAAAGTGTTATCAACTTACCCAACATCCGTTTTACATTTGATGACTACACATGAAGATACATTTGTTTGAAAATTGTCAGATAAAAAGAAAAAGAAAAAGAAAAAAAAAATCAAAATAAAATATCTAGACACAACAGATAGATAGAATGAAGTGTTATAAAAATATAACATCGATTTCTTCAGATGATCTGGATTTATTTCTCAAGTCATCGATAGTAGTAGTCTGTCTCTGTCTATGTTAACTGTCACCGGTATTTACCAACCACCATCACACCACAATCACATTATTTTTATCAACAAATTGTCTATTTCAATAATAACACTATCACACTATTGTTTATAATTAAATTAACAAATTGATTATAATCATACTTTATCAACAATTATTTATATATATAGAAGATTGAAACTAAAATCATTTTCAGCATCAACTCAATGGGATTATACACAAATATATGTGTGTGTGTATGTGTGAATGTATATATGTATATATGTGATAATACAGGATAGGATTAGTTTGGTTTGAAAAAAAGTGTATCCAAAAAAAATATGATGAAATTTTGTGTTAAAGGAAAATAATTAAGGGTAGGATGTTGGAGGGATTGCAAGGGTTGGAAAATGAGGATGAACAAAGAAATGCAAAATATTTGTTTTAAACACTTAGAACTAATAATAATAATAATAATAATAATAATAATAATAATAATAATAATAATAATAATAATAATAATAATAATAATAATAATTGGTAATG